GTTTGTTTTGTATACCAGATTTTTGAGATTGATCACTGAGGTTGATCGCTGTGCGTTATCTTAAATTCACACTTTACAAAGGTCTTAGTGGGTGACCGATGATTATTGTATGGTCAATTCTCCATAAACCAATGCCTTTTATGATTTAGAAATCATAACAGTATAACAAAGTTTTTTATGAACCTCACATTGTGAGGAACAGAGGTGCTCATGTTCTTTCATACCATAGAAGTAAGATAATAGAGTTACTTTTCTTGGTAGTCAAATATTTATATTTCTTCATTTTCTTAATATTATAGTATCACATTTGAAAATTTATTAAATAGTTTAAGTAGTCTAAGATTTTTTTATATAAACAATTTTAAACAAAATAAAAATTTCAAAATAAATATAGTATGTAATTGCATGTAAAACCGAACATCTTATAATTTTAAAAAACATTCAGTCTTGATCTGTTGGCAGTAGTATATAATAATATATTAATTCCTGTATGTATAAAAAAAAATTGTCTATGACACTGTCATTGCTAAAACTTTCTTAATTATGTATCATTACTTTTAAAACAGACTTTGTATTGATGGTTGAGCCAATATTGTCATCGGTTGCTTTTGGGTGAAGCCATAACTAGACAACTTTCACACTCTTAAGAGATATAACTCTCTTTGTTGGCGTTACAATCATTTTTTTTTCACTTTATCCTTTGTAACTCACCTCTAAATATTTTTAACTTTCAAATGCTTTCAGACAATTTTGTACCATATTCCTGTATTTCCATAGTATGGGGCATTAAAGACGACATAATGAACATACACATACAGATTTAATTTGTAAGACTTTACTAGTGCTGCCCCCCTAAAGTTCGCAATATTATACTGTAACAGTGAAAACTGTGGGTTACCCGGGTTGACCCCAAATTGACCCCGCAAAGGGAGATAACTTTTGTAAATGTGAAAATCATCCATTATTTTTACTAAATAAGTCTACCATGTCCTGAATGTTATTTTTTAATTTTTGAATAGAATGAAGCCAGCACTGTGTGATTTTTTGGTCTGTAGTCTAGTACCTTTTCATACTCCATGCAGCCTGTGGAGGAAAGATGACACACCTCAAAAGAGGAAGAACAGGTGATATTTCATTCTTAATTAATGCACGTCATCTCTTGTTTCTGCTGAGATGTAATTAAGGTCATAAATAAATATGCCTTATTAAATCTTTATAAGCTGTGAAGCCAGTGCAGTAGTGGTAATTATAGAGGATGACTTGTGTTAAAATTAATATGATTTCTTTTAAATTATTTATGATGTCTGCAAATGAATTTTGAGGTGTATAATTATAGAATGTTAATTTAAAAAAAAACTATATCCTGAAGATAGGTAATATTGACATGATAAGAAGATCATTTATTTGTCTGATTCAGCAATTCTCTCTCTCTCTCTCTCAAATATTCAGAGCTGTATTCAATTACTGCAGACATACTTCTTTCCACATGGGATTAATTTTTGCTTTATGTACACAGACACAAATTTTCTTCGAAAAACTTGTCATAGCATACTTTAAGTATATTTGAAGTACATTTAAGACATTTAAGACATACTATTTAGGCAGTCCAAAAAATCTGTGTAATTTCTACCCCAGGATTGCACAGAAAAGTTTATTCCCACCTAGCCAAAATTTTGATTTTCTTGCTCCCATAATATTAGTCTAGCCAAAATCAGGATTTTCAAACCTGAATGGTCACTTCTGTATAATCTGTTTTATACTTACTGCCTGTGATTTTTACCTGGGATGTATAATTTTATTATCAAAATACATATCATAGATATCTATATTTTATTAGCTATGAATTAATTAGTTTCAATGTATTTTTAATTAACATGTTGATGAGAGCTATTCAACTGCATCAACATTTTTTACCTTGACATCTTGACTTTGACTTCACTTTTCTTCAATTAGTGTTTAGCCCAATTTCAAAGAAACTATTCAAGAATTTTTTATAAAACCTTATATGCTGATACATACTGATGAGAATTATTCAAGGTCATCAACATTTTTTGACCTTGACCTTTCTATTGACCTTGACTTTACTTTTCTTAAATTTGTGTTTAGATGAGTTTCAAAAAAAACTGTTTAAAATATTTTTATCAAACTTCATATGCACATACATACTGATAAAAGCTATTTAACTGCATCATCATTTTTTTGACCTTGACCTTTCTTTTGACCTTGACCTCTCTTTCTTAATTATCTCAATTTCAAAGAAACTTAAGATATTTTTAGCAAACCTTTATGAGTATACATAATGATCAGAGCTCTTCAAATGCGTCAGCATTTTTTGACCTTGGCCTCTCCTTTGACCTTTGACCTCACTTTTCTTAAAATCATCAGAGATACAGTTTTAATCAGAAACTTCTGTTCAATTCCTGTAAGATTTCTCTTGAATAATAATTCCTACTTCAACAAATTTTGAATTTTGTTTGTAGGAAACCGGAAACTGTGCTGGGTTAATTTCTTTTTACTCCTTTTTTATGTCTTTGTATCATTGGTAATTTTCTGAGACTATGTGTCTAGAAAAAGTTAGTTCTGAGATTGGGAGAGATTCCTGGCTGATGTAGGGCTGTTGTAATTGTCTCACCCTAGGTCTGTTGATTTTATCTGACTGTTATTTTTTTCTTCTGAATCAATTGTCAATGTTTGCTACACAAAAGGTTCTAATCTTAAGCATCAACATGTACAGCCTTCCTGTCAGAGGAGGACCAGAAATATGGAAAATGATTTCTTTGTGTAAAATGACTTTCTGCTTAAAAGACATTCTTTGTCCTTTTTGACAGTGGATTAGCATTTGGAGTTTATTTATTGGAAGGTCTTCACAGCTCTGGTGGAAATTTTACTTGCAGATAACGTTTTAACAATGTATACTGAATATTAGCTTCTATTCTTGGTAATGCTGGACTTTGGGACAGACTGCAGACTAAGGCTTATAGTGTAAATAAAAATGTATCCAGTCTCTGAAGATGTTAATGTAATTATCAAATACAAGATCCACTTATTTGGAAAATGGGTGTTAAAAGGAAAATTTGAATAATGACAAGAACATATTTGTAAATGTTTGTAATAAATGACTTACATGTTAGAATTAACAATTCAAGATGTGTTAAAATGTTACACACAATTGTCCTCAAATATGGCCTAAGTTGTGATGTGAACAAAAGTTTTAAGTGAGTTAATCATTCACAAAAAGATGAAGAAAGAGTCTCACTTTGAACTGAGAACAAATTCTTCAAGGCATAAACATTTAGTGATTCAGAATTTTTTTCTTTTTAATGATGTATGTCACTATTACTCACCACCAGAACTGGGACAGAGCCGTTTCTTATACAGTCCTTCAATACAGTCCTTCAATCTATGATACAGCATGAAAACAAATTGAACATTGAAGATTATAAGCTTTGAGCCAGTTCAACAAATATGTGAAATTTGTGAATCCAAGGTCCAGAGTTTAGACAACAGATTTGGGCAAAGTTGATCATACGCTGAAAAAACAGACAAACTTTGTGCACATTATGATAACAAACTAAGAGTCCTTCACAGACCTTTAGACTTAACTTGCATGGATGATGCATCTGGTGATGGACACTTCCAGACTTGCTTCGGATGCTGGATCTGACCTTTATTTTTGGGAAAAGTAACCAGGTTAAAGTTTTAAGTCCATTCCCATGTATCTATAAGCGCTACCTAGACCAAACTTGCATGGATGAATGCATATAAGGATCAACCAGACTTAATTGGTTCAGATAATGGATCTGACCTACATTTTCCAGATGAGTAACCAGGATAAAGTTATAGTTTTAGAAGCATTGGTCCATTCCTAAGTAACTATTGGCCCTACCTGGACCAAACTTGCAGGGGTGATGGATCTAGCGATGTACACTACCAGACTTGCTTCAGATGCTGAATCTGACCTACATTTTTTGGATGATTGCATGATCACTGTAAGTTTTAGGAGCAGGTCCATTTCCAAGTGACTATAAGCATCATTTATACCAAACTAGAAAAGGACAACTATAGATTTATGTACTCTTCCTGACCTGCTTCAGATGCTGAATTGGACCTATATTGTCCACATGAGTGAATAGTACCCCTTACCTAAACCAAACTAGCATGTATGATACATCTAGGGATGCAAACTACCAGGCTTGCTTCAGATGCTGGTTCTGACTTACATTTTCCAGATTAGTGAATATTAGCCCTACCTGAACTAATCTAGGATGGATGATGCATTTAGGGATGGACACTACCAGACTTCTTTGGATGCTGAATATTACCTACATTTTCCAGATGAGTGAACATGTTAAAGGTTTTTTGGAGCTGGTTCATTCTCAAGTAACTATAAGTCCTATTTAAATTAATCCCAGGATCAATATCCATCCAAGTTGAAGTCTTACTTAAACTAAACTTGCATGATATTGATCTTGGGATGCACACTAACTAGAAAAAATTTAGTGTGAGAATTACCTTGCTTATAGCTAACATTTGTCAAGGTGAGCTTTGTAATCTTTTATGTTTTTTTTTTTATTTTGGTCTTATATAAGGTTAAGAGTTTTTCAATGTATTTCAAATTTTGTCATTTTAGATTTTTATTTTATTTTATATTTAAGGGAGATCACTCTAATTGCATAAAACTACCATGGATTTGGAACTCTTCAGTCAGCAGTGTATAGAGCTTCATTAAGGGCTTACCTGTTAGTCATCTCATTTATAATAATCTTATATCTTTGGAAGGAGGGAAGAAATTAAAACAATAAATAATGTTAACGTTATAATGCTTATATGAGAAATAACCATTTTCAGAATCATAAACACAGTTTTTGGAAATTATTTAAGAAAGAATTCTAAGGAAATATTTTTTTAAAAAAAATTGAGAAATTGAAGATGAAATTTAAAAAAAAGATATGCTTATAAGAAAACAAACATGTGCAATTAATGAATTTAATAACCAGATTTTTAAATGAATTCACATACATAAAATAACAATTAATGTTGATAATACTATACAGTGGTAGATATATGAATAAACACACAAAGTAAATATAATAATGTAATGATACCCAATGGCAATGTACAGGAGGAAAGTTACACACATTTGGGACCCGAATTTCAGCTTCAGAATAAATGTTACAATGATAATTACACCAAAAGAAATTGATTTAAAAGACGTACAGTCCTAGGAAACAATTTGTGTAATTACCATGATAACCTGTGTAACTTTCATCAGTTGCCATAGCTACAGAGCAAAGCTAGTAAACTGAGCCAGTGTTAAAAGTGCAATGATGATGTTTAATAACTTAAGCTTTTGACATGTTGAATCTTGTTTGATAACCAAACAATTATTTTGACAAATTCCAGCAAAGAAAAAAAAACCCTTTTTTTGATTTGATGAGAATACCTAAAGCTGTACAATTTTATTTGGAAATAGAAGTCTGTCAAAAACAGACTCTTTCCATTTTTATGTAATGAAGGACCTTTGTTACCACAAAAGCTTTAGTTTAGATATTTTCTATTACATATTAAACTTGAGTCACTTCTGTCTTGACTGAGCTATAGTGATTATTATGAATCCCATTCTTTAATGTAATATTTCCGTTGTTAAAGTTTCTAACAAAAGAACACAAAAACAAGTTCTTAAATGTGTCCCTAAACTGCTGACTCATAATACAATACAACAGGAAGTTTATGGCACTGTTGATGAGGACTAGAAGGTCCATCACATCCCCAAGGTTGGAGTACACCTGGTTAAAGAACGTATCGTTGAGGCCACTTATTCCCGCCAGAATTCCCTGAGGGAATTCGGTCACCACAAAAAACAGGACCACCATCACCAGCATCATAGTCGTGCGGTTGTGTTCCGCTGACATTTCCTCGTTGTGTCGGCTGTTGGACTGAGACAGCAGACGTTTACGGCGTATGCTTGCCTGATGCATGGTCATGATTATCAATGTACTTAAAATCGTCAGTAAGATACATGGGGCTATTTTGATAATCACACCATAGATCCAGAACGTGATTGGCTGATACAGTGGATTTTTCTGGATGAATTCACTCTTTTCTATCCAGTACCCCCTCCAGTTTGCGGTAGCATTGTTTGTTCTGTTGCTGTCCTCTGTATAAAAATCTTTGAGATCTTTAACTTGATACAGGAAGTAATTTGGGACACAGACCAGAATGGACACTACCACAATGATGAAGATGGTTAATTTGGCTCTATCCAGGCTACACCACTGGTTAGCCACCACATGGTGACAAACAAAGATGTACCTGGTTAAAAAGAAGCTCATTCAATCAGTAGTTGAAAAATGGTTAATAGTAACATTGTATAGATGCCTGATTAGTTATTACTGGTACATGTAATTGCAAATAGTTTTGGAGAATATACTAGTTGTTACAGTAAATGTGGTAATAAGTGTTGAAAGTTCCTTGTAAAAATATGAGGAGTGGAAACTTTGACAGTGTACTTGTTTTTCATTTAACATTGCTTTTTAGCTAGAATGAGGAGGTTGACAAATGGAAACATTGACTTTTATTAATCACTTGACAATTTCATCATTTTCACATTGACAGTAAGCAAACCATTTTATTTCAATAGTTAGATATCAAATGTGTCGCATCCCAGAACCACCCCCCCCCCCCCCACCCCAACTTCCATCAATATCTAGATTACTCATAACTAGAAATTCCTCTGACTTCAAATGGAGGCTCAAAAAGATGGATTTAAGAGGCACCAAAAAACTATTGAAGTACCCTCAAGAAGCAACTTAGAACCTTTAATAAAAAGGTCAAATTTTTTTTTTACAGTGGAACAGATGGTAGAGACATCTTTTAAAGTTGAAAACAATTTGGTGATCTGGAAACTCAGATCAGAAAATAGTGCCATGTATAAAGGAATTGTTTAATGTAAGAATGGCTAGTGGCTCAGAATTATTAATGAAGTCAGCATCATTAATGAATGGGTATTTGAAATATGCCTAATGAGTCTAGCACGGAATATAATGTTTTTGTGCGTTGTAAGTAAAGACGAGAATCAGAATTGATGAAAACATATTAAAATTGTTCAATCCTTTCAGCCATTGGTAATTGTGATAGTGTAATGTAGTCTGCACATAGAAAGGATATTAAATACTTTTCCTACACAAATCAATAATGTGTTTTAACTTAATACATGTATATAGATATATTTAGTTTTATGTACATTGGTCTACAATTAATTGTCAGCTTTATTGTATGAGAGCAGTAAGATCAGAGACCGTACATAGACTTGATCTTTTCTTTGTGAAATCTTACTTGAAACTGCATGAAAAATTGTTTTTTGATGCATAATTTATTGAATTCTGCTGTACCATGAAATAGCTTGTAGAATTTGTTTTTAAACTTAAAAAAAAGATCATTGTTAATTTTACCTGAAAACTGCCAAAGAGACAGTCAACCACATAGCCATATTGTGAAACG